TTTTTTTTTTTTTTTTGGCAGGGTGAAGGCCAGCCCCACCTAGGAGCTTTTTGCAAAGGGACTTTTTGGTGCACTGCGGCTCAGGTGCTGCTTTTGGCTTTTTTTTCCCACAGTGTGAAGCCAAGCCCTGCCCAGGAGCTTTTTGCAAAGGGGCTTTTTGGCACACCATGAGTCAGGGGCTGTTTTTGGCTTTTTTTTCCCCCACAGCATGAAGCCCAGCCCCAGCCCGGCACACCTTGTCAGCAGTGGGAGCAAGAAGACGGCAAAGGTCAGCTGGGGTGGCAGAGTGCAGGACAGCAGGGGTCTCAGAGTGCAAGGTGGTGAGGGCAGCTGCAGCTTCCCAAGGCATGACAAGCAGCCCTAGAGCCGCAGTTCAGGGGTTGCTTGCCGCTCTAGAAGGCAGGGTGCAGGGCTAGCAAAAGGCTGGAGATGGGGGGGGGGAGATAGGCAGGTTGGAGGCAGTCCCTTACCTTACTGAGGCTCAGGGCTGGGAGGGACCAAGCCCAGAATGGCTTGGATTGGGGCAGGTACTCACTTAACCACCCATGATTCTCAGTTAACAACGGCAACAGGGACTGCAGGGATTGTGGTTGCTGAGCGATGTGGTCACATGATGTCATGCTTTACGATCACATCACTTAGCAACCAAAATTCCAGTCCCAATTGCGGTCGTAAGTCAAGGGCTACCTGTAATGTTTCTTTAATTAATTAACACATTTATGGATAAATGTATAAAGAATGCTTGTGATGACATTAGAGAGGTGTTGGTCAAGGATATGAATGCATGTGTACATATGCAGGAGATGGGAACCGAAATACTTTGCAGCAAATGTTAGTTAGACCATATAACACAAGGAAAGAGAATGAAAACAAATGCATTGAAGACCATGATAGTTCTGTCTGACAAGGAAAACGTATTTAATAATTGCAAGTTATACATAAATGGGGAAAAACTGTTACCCTAATAGAATGATAAACATCTTTAATAATGGGAAAATGTTAAAATGTGCAACTGCAGGTAGGAAAGTAATGGGTAATATGTAGTCCTGCAAGAAATGTTTGTTAAAAGAATGACAATCATCAATTACAAAAACATGCTTCTGCCCACTTTGTTACATGAAAGTGAGAGATGGGTTTGTCAAGAAAAATGTAAGAGCATCCCAAATTTTGTCCAATTTTTATCCACTCTTTTTTACTATGTTGATCTCCTATACAAATCATGAGATGAAATGCTGCACTCATAAATGAAGCACCCCTCTGGATTCAAAGCTATGAAGCACTTGCAGCCACCTGAAAGCTCAGTGCAGTTACTCCAAGACTCTCCCAAAGCCTACCTGGTACATTTGAACACGTCCACAAGACACTGCTGCAAAGTTAATTTCTGGGACAGCCAGAAAGCAAAGCACCTTGTTGAATTTTATTTTATTTAGTTTTAATCTGGATTATCAATCATAACAATAAAGCCTAAGACTGTTTTTTAAGCTTTACACTTATGCTCAAAGATTAAGCAATAAAGATTCTTGGTAGGTACAGTGGAATCTCGGTTTACGAACTTAATTCGTTCCGTGACTCTGGTCGCACCCCG